ATTTAATATATATAATAAGACATATAGAAATTTGAATCGGCAAATAGACATTGAAATCTGTTGCAAAGTCATAATCAAATCTGCCGGCATACTGCTGACATGTTGCTAATATTTTATTATCCTGAGATTGTGATGGTATGATGAAGAAACAGTCTCGCAACTGTCAGTATGTTCCATGTAGCAACCATGGATTGCTTAGCGTGTCTGATTGCGAAATGCGGGTGGTCATCCGATTCTTGATTGCGAAAAATGAAAATGCAATGGACATCCAGCAATTGAAATTGAAATTTATGGAGAAAATGTCTGAGCATTCAAATGACTCGTCATAATTGACGCACAAGATTCTGCTTCGCTTCTCATCGTACACATTTATGCGTACGTTCCAAAAATCTCTTACTAAACAACGGTGTCTCTATGGTTGCAGGAAGCATACTGATAGCTATAAACTTCCCCATCATGTCATCATAATGTTGCTAACATACCCAAACGAAACTTTCTAAGGTTCGAGGGACTCCAAGTTCGCTCCAAGTTCGTTCTTTGGGAGAAAAAAAATAGAAAAACTTCCCTTTGAACTGACCCTCACATAATATTTTACTTTTTATACTTTTTTTATGAAATATACATAAGCGGATTGTCAGTGTGATTGCAATTTTTAGCAGCATCAACTCGGCTTTCGACGAGCTCCGGGTCCACGTGCCAACCTTTCCTTACGAAAAGAGGCTGTCGAAGATCGATACTCTGCGTCTGGCCATAGCGTATATTGCACTTTTACGCGAGGTTCTAGCAGCCAGGCTTGATCCTTTAACATATGTTGAGAGGTGCCTTAGGGGTGAAATAAACGGTGAACGTGCCGAATGGAATACAAGCGGTATGTTTATTTTTGTAATAATTATCTGATGAATAATATAATGCACTGAAAATCATAATACATCATAACGTACATAAAAATCATAAATGTCTCGATGTATTTCGAAAAAATTTTATTAATGGAATAATTACCATCAAAAATTGCACATTTTTATTAGTTAATTAGAAAATGCAAATTACATCTGTCCGTTTTGTTATACACTGAGAAAAATTTAATATTAAATTATTGATATTATATATCGACTGATTTTGAATTTTAATTCAATATTTAATTTTTTGAATAACTTAAACATTACCTTCTGCAAAATATTTAATTTTGATCTCATTTATAGATCTATCATATGTTGCTTTCAAATTCCGAAGAATTTTGAGAAAAATAATATTACGTTTTCAAATTGACAATGTACAGCTCATCACCAAAAATTTAAAATTATAAATAAATTATAACTTATTATATATTTGCTTATAAAAGTGATGTTACAAATTTTGCTTGAATTATAAAATACATACGTATAACATTACAATTTTCCCCCTTGTATATTAAATATTACATATTGATCATTATTGCAGATTTGACGGCACGCTTATCTTGGATAAACTGGGAAAATCTAGGAGTAAACCCAAATCGGCGATCAGTACTCACTACTCTTGCACTAACAACCGACAATATGAATTGAATACATACTAATAAAATACATGAGGGATACATATAATAAAATTCTCTTGCGCTGACTTTCTTTTCTTTGTAAATATCTTTATGCTGATATAGGGAAAAAAAGGATTCCTGCGATCTCGGATTCGTTATAATTTACGTGCAATAGGAATATCGTATTCAATATCTAAGTGTGTAAGCAAAAAAAATCTAGTTAGTAATTTAGTATTTGCTTTGAAATAAAATCGATGCTGTTCGAGATTTTTTGTTGTATATATTCTTAACAATTAAAAATCATATATTATTTAAGACAACGCGACATATATTACTTTAATATACCTTTATTTTAATATTGATGATTTTAACCAGTGTTATAGTAATATTCATATTGTTAAAAAATTTGTTATAATAGAATTTATATTTTGATGTTGCACGCGCATAGTAACATATTCTATTTTTTATGAGAAAGTATGCGTCTATTTTAATGTGTAATATAATTTTTTTATTAAGGCTCTTGATCACTCACCGCAGATATTTGGATTGACGATGTCTAAAACAAGAAAATACATCCTACTAATAGTATGTATCTCCATAAAATATCCTAACTTAATCAATTCAATTCCATTCTAATTCAAGACTAAAAAAGATCCTTAAAATAATCTCATTTATAATTGTCATATATTAAAGTAAAAGTTTCTAAGATATTCTACTTTGATATTTGAAGTCGTCACATTATAAGACATTATTCACCCTACATAAGACGCCTCAAACGTATCATAAATTAGGTCAAAATGACATCTTTTTAATAGTTTCATATTTTATAGGATAGAATTTTTAACCGTTTTTAAGACATTATCTGAAACAATATTATATATACATAGATAATATAAAGAATTAAGGAAAAAATTTAGCAAAACGTTTTATTTAAACGAATATCTTAATATAAAAGGAACTTATTAATTTATTGTTAAACTCTCAATTTACAAAATTTTAATTTGCATAGTCATGTATGCATAAGTGTGTAAAAATATAATTTCTATTTCTGTAATAAAAATATATCTTCATATACGTTTTTTTAATGAGACAAAATAAATTATAAAAAATTAGAACATCAAACTATTATTGATGGAAAACATTTTAAATATCAATTTATTTGAAACAATTAAACTTTTTTATAAAATTATTTTTAATAAAAATTTTTTAATGAGCAAATATAATTTTATAACTTAATAATGTCACAGATATTAAACGAAATATTCATTTATCTTCAAGTTAGGAATTATTGCAATTCTCTAGCCATTGAATAGTTTGCTTGCTATCGAGAGTATCGATATAATTAGATAGATCATCTTGATGAACTCCAGTGGCAGCACAATATAAGATCGCAGTATTCTCTAGAAGTTTCTGCAATGGTTCCATATTCGCGATCTCTGTTTTGTCTTCAGAATGTTTCGAATTTTTTTCTCTCTCTCTCTTCATATCAACCGCAACAATTTCGTATTCATTTTGATTTTTAGGATAGTCAACAAATTTTTCTTTGGTATAATTTAATGTACTCAAATTCATTTGTTGATTCATTAGAGAAGTTTTGTTATCCTCTAATGATATTGGTTTCCTTTCCCAAATATTATTATTACCGGTAAACTGACCGTCTTTGGTCTTTTTCAGCATGACATGAAACTTTTTCCATTTTTCTTGTGGAAAATCTGCATTCGGATTGGATATGAATTGTTGATTACTTCCCATTATTATATTTTTTTGCCAAAGATTTTTTGGTACAGTTTTGATATTTGAATTTATCAAATTAGTTTTCATATCTTTTGAATTATAATTCTGGTTCTTTATCATAGATCTTCTTAATGTGCTTTCATTGTATTCCGACAAGATTCTAGCAATCTTTGAAGTCTCATTGATACATGCGAAATTCTTACCAATATTCGTCATAGATATTTTGTCATCTGACTGTCTGTTAATTTTTCTTTTATCAGGACTTTTGTTTCCATATGTCTTTTTCATATCAGTTGCTTTGCTCTCCAACTTCTCAAGATTTTCAAAGAAAATCTTTGTCATATTTTCTGGTATATTTGTGGTATGTCTCGTAAGTAACAAGTTGTTATTCATCTGTGACTCCTTACATTTTGAGATTGGTTCATCTGCAAATACTAATTTATTACAATTTGATGACGTCCCTATTAATGTTTCATTGTTGGATGTATTTTCTATTATGAATTCCGAATTGAATAAATTTTTTGTAGTTATGTAGATATTATCATTTGCAGATCTTGCAGCTGTATTATCCAGTAAAATTAAGGAGTTATTTGAAGCATCTTGAATAATCTGATTCATCTGTTTCATCTTTATTATTTCATTATTCTGCAGATTAGTCTTTGAATTGTTGACCTTTAGATTAACAGATGATTTCTGTGCTTCTGGTACATTCTGTGTTACAGAAAATGATGGAAAAATCGAGATGACTCCTTCTGTATTTGAATTATTAGTGTTACTTTCATTTTGAATATTCTGTGCCATAGCAATGGCATAAGCTTCTAATAACTTTGTCTCATCTATCAACTTAGCTTCATTTTTTGAAGATATTGTAGCATTATTTTGGACTTTTGTCATTTCATCCGCCAATTCTAAAGAGTTTAGTTTTGCTGCAGAAATCATCAGATTTGTCATCTTCTTTTCTACAGCTTGTTTATAAACCGGTGTCATGATTTGTGAACAATAACCAAGTACATAATGAAGACTCTCATGCATGCATGTCTCAAAAGATTTGTTATTCATAGAGAGATAGATATTCCATGCATTCTTGGTATTCGATAAATGTTCCATTTTTTTCATATTCGTTTTTCCTTTTGATTTTTCCTCGGTTGAAGAAATTTGTTTATTGCAATATGGTTCGACAGAAACTACTTCAATATCAGCTTTATCGATAATCTCACAATAAGATAATCCATCGAGACTAGTGAAGTATCTTCCTAAATACTCCACCGCTAGACCAGTCTGGAAATATAATTGCATGAAAAATGTTCTAAGTATGATTATTCAATTTTTTGGTTTTAATTGGAATTAAGTTTTTTTTTTAATAAAAATCATTAACAAAAATTACTATTTTTTGCAATTTTTAAAAAAATATTCTTAAAAATTTAAATTTTGTTGTTTAAATTTTGTTATTAAGAATTAAGTTCTATAAAATAAAATTTTCACTCAATATTGTAATAAAATTTTAGAAAATGCTAATTACTAAAATTTTAGATGCTAATTACTAAAATTATAATAATTATTGTCATTTATGTGTTTCTCTACGATTTAATTACAGCTTTTTACTCTAATCTACTAATTATTATTGATATTTTTTAAATTAAATCATTTAAAAGATATAAATAATATAAATAAGCTCTTGAGTTTTTAATAAGTGAGAGATAAATGCTAAATAAGCATCACCATTGTTAATGTGATATGCGATGTAATATTTTATTATATCTTTTCCATAAATATCATCATAATGTTCGAATTGATAGACATTTGTTCCAGAGAAAGTAGGAAGATTGAAGTTCATCCTGGCAGAGATGATATTTTTTACTAAATTATTTACAGAGATATTTTTTATCGAATTATTTAAACTTTTAAGATGCTTGTTAATATTGTTAGTAATTTTAAAATTAATTAGCAATAAATAATCTTATAACAATCTTCAATCAATAATCTTTGATAAGATTAACAGTTAACAAGTTCTTCAAAAATATAACTCATCTAAAAATATATGAATTATAAATATTATACTATTTGAAAAAAATCTTACTTGAGGATGATAAATCGGTCGCTCATGCATTCCATGCACAGGCCATTCTTTCCACTCCATCTCGTCCTTTTTTGTAGGTGCTTGATAAGTAGCACCTACAGTATACATCTTCCGAGTGACAGATCTGGTATTCATGTATGGCATTGTGGATAATTTTATGCGTTTCCTGGATTCATAATCTGAATAAATCTCTCTTTTGCTATTAACCAATAATCTTTGTTTGGGTCGAGAAAAATTTTTATCCATATTTCTCTTGGATACTCGCATAGGATTATCTTTTATCTCCATTGTTTTGAGACTAAAAAAATATAAAGGTAAAATATAAAAAACTCATATAATTAAAAAAAAAATGATTCTCTTTAATTAGCTCAATTTTTCATCATACAAAA